GATTTATAGAATGTAAATAAATTCAATTCAATTCAAATCAGGTGTACAAGTTGTGATGAAGCAATCTGCTGCCCTCTGTAATGTTGCTCAAATTTTTTTTTGTGTAAATGCATTTTGTGGAGCACTGGCTGATGCACAACTAGGCTGAATCATGTAGTGATATACAATAAAGAGAAGCAGACAAGTGAATATTAACCAGAGTCCACACAGGCGGCAAGACGTGGAACACAGAGGCAGGTCTACACAGTTGCAACAGGTTGCTGCACTATAATAATATGTTGCATCGTTTTGATCGAGTTGGCTAAGCTGATCTTGTAATGTACACTTCTTTAGCTTGTAACTCATCCCCATTGCTGTGAAGACAGATCTCATTGAATAAAAAGGAAATGAAGCCAGTTTGTAATCATACAAGTCTGATGTTAATTGTTTGCCTCTGTCCAGACAAATTCTGAGAGAGGCGGAAAGGCTGTTATGCCAAATGATAATACAGATTTTTGAATTTCGCATACATATATTTGATATAATCAGTCTTGCTCTTTTATAGAGTGTTTAGTTGGCTCTATAATAGATGAACACACTGCAGCCCAGAGGCCAGATCTTGCCCATGGGAGTGTTTTTTTTGGGGGGGTCCCGTGAAGATAGTGTGGAAATGATATAGTTTGTATCAGTATTTTTTCCTTTATTTTTCAAACAATGTAGTATATTTTTACACAGGAATATAAGTTTGTTGGAGGTGATATTTGTAGCAGTAAACTGTCTTCTAATTACTAAAAGTACTTAGGGAATATTGCATGGACCTCATTTATACTAGGCTGTAAGGTTTGCTCACTATGGTCTATAACCATCTAACCTAAACCTTTCCTGAGAAGAAGTATCAGTTCCATATGAAGTCAAAGTGCACAGATGAGAGGAGTAAATTCTACTTTTTCAGATCGCTCAGAAGACTAAAGATGTTCATTTAAAACTTGACCAATTGGCAAAACTTTTAAGGGAAAGTTACCCTAGATACAGTGGCCTGATTGTGTGCAGGGAGATTAAAAATGGTGGACTTCTTTGTCCATTGAATAGATTGAAGGAGTGTCCCTCTAATGAACGTTTTGGAAACAGATGTAAATTTTCAATAGGTGAGTGTATGTACTACTGGCATTGTTTGCTTACAGCTAGTTGGTGTGTACCCTTGTGTGAGTTATATCTTTGTTTTTGTATGCTTTTGCAAAAAAATGTAAAAAATGCACTTTGCAGATTGAACAAGTTTCTTTTCTGCATGTAATAACCTAAGAGCAACTTAACAGCAATTTGACAGACCCTCATGAAACATATTGCAGAGGAATTTTACTATTATTTGTTGCGATTTCAATTTTCATTAAAGTTGGACAGTAGACTATATGAATTTCTGTGTAGGCCATGAACATGACTTGCTAAATATTTATCAGAGAAAGAAATGTTTCAAGCAAGAATTGCAGAGAATACTGAAAGATGCAATTTATGCACAAAATATTATTCTGTAAGTCTTAATCTTTGGAGGTAAATGGAAGTGAGGGAAAATGTCAGATCTGTTCATTTGCAAACTGTTTTGCTGTCAGAGTTGCTGCTAGGACTGTCCGGCAGTATGGAGTGTCCTTTTTGTGTTGGCTGGTCATGCTTCATTCTGTAGTGATCAAGTTGACTCATTACCACACAGTAACACTGTATATATTTGTACTGTCTGTAGATTGGACTCTGTGTCATTGATTAGCAGAATGATTATTTAGTAATGAATTGAGAAGTATGTACCAAGAAACATTCATGGCTTAGCTGGAAGTACTGGCAATTTTCCTGCAGGGGCTAAGGAAGACCACAGAATTCTTAATCAGAGTAAACAATATCTGTCCTGAGATTTGAACCCAGGACCTCCAAAATACAAAGCACGAGTGTTATTGACTTGATACTGATGTTCTGTTACTCCTCCATGAAGTCTTGATTCTCTGTTCTGTATAAGTGTTCCCTTTGAGCCATTTAGATACTGTTTTGATGGCACAGTTCACAGTTTTAGGGAGGAGCTCATTGTTGCTTTGGGGTGTGATGGATTTAAACACTGAGCCATGGAAAATCGTGTGTACATTTGACTGGATAGTTTAGCTGGAACCATAGAACGTGAATGTTAAATGGGGAAAGAGTTAAATTGTGAAACATTAGTTGTGGATTTTGTTGTGCATATGTGGAGCTAAAATTACTTGCTCATGTGAACAGAAGTTTACCTCTAAAGTATCATGTTCTGTCTTCTTTCTGTATGCAATAATAGGTTCCCATGGTTTGAATTTTGGGCAGGAACCAATCATGGTGATATTTTTTTCTGTTTCTCCTCAGGCTTTTCAGACAAGCTCTGGTATTACATGAAATTAGGCTGTGGGCTTCCTTCCTCATCCTTTACAGTTCATTGATCAGTTATCATTTGATGCCATATATTCTGAACCACTGACAGCATCAGTAAACATGAACTGAATAAATAAGCACTGAGTGATTGTAATTGTGGAAGTCATGATTTCTGTGATTTCTGAAGATTTGATTCATTATGATATTTTGAGTGATGACACTAAGGTACAGTGGCCTGTTACTATCCTAGCATTCACCTGGATAGGGTAAGAAAATGCCGGAAATAGTGAGTAACCCAGTCAAGATTTGAACTGAGTACTTGACCAGTAGAAACCTTGTTATTGTTTCTGAATTCCAAGCTTGGGAAGAGTTTAGGTGCCCTGATATTGGTAATGCTCTTCCCCAGGCACTGATAAAGAGACTGGACAGCTTGCTGTGGGCTTCCCTGCTGGCTGTGGCTATGTGAAGAAGATCTCATCAGTGAAACACAACTTTCCTCCTCATGTGGTAGAGGCAGCGCAGGTAGGAGTTCTGAAGTGAATGGTTGTTACTTTGAACTGGTGTGTATGCAATACATAGATCTTTGGAGGATAAGCCAACAGTCCTTTCCAGTTTATGAGGTTTCTCAATATGGTCTTTTTGTAATCTGTTGTCTGGCTTTCTGTCTTGACTGTTCTGTCAGTTTCTTCCGGTGTAAATGTGCTGTGTCCTTTATTGCAAATATTGGTGTTTGTATGAGATTTGAGGTTCACGCTTACTGGAAGGAAATTTCAAATCTAAAGTTACCACCACCCACTGCGAAACGTGAGTGATAATAAAAAAGTGTGTATCAATTTTAAACAGTTAACAGAACCAGATATCAGTCTTGTTTTGGCTTTTGCAGTTCATGGCTCCTGACGTTGAAATGTATACGTATTTGTCTTGCACTGTGCTCGATGATACATCAGATAAACTGTTTACAGCTTGTGGTGATGTGTTAAGAACATCAACCCATCAAAAAGTTAGATGTTTTAAAAATGCCAATTGAAATATATATAATCATACTGGAATTCATGGTGACCCTCACAACTTTGAAGATAGGGAAAAATTTCACCTTCCGTTCAAGTAAATGTCATAAATTGACTTATGCTTAGTTGGTATTTTCTTCTGTTCTTCTATCTTAAGATCATTTACTTGTTAACTTTGTGTTTACAGCATGTGAGTACTGTATACTCTCTGGTTATTATATCTCTGACACTGTGAGGTATACTAGGTATGTCGTGATGTAATTTTGCCTCAAGCATTGATGATAATATTCACTCTAAAAATAACTTACCTCACTGCCCATTTGTTCTTAAAGTGCCTGCAATCTCTGTTGATACAATATCATTAAATAAGTGTAAAGCTGAATCAGTACATTAATCCAGTATCTCACATGACATGCAGCACAATATTTTCACACTGAACAGTACAGTACCTTCCTTTCCACATCACTGTTCCTAGAGCCGTGGTATAACTGCTTCTCCTTTTCCCAGCTTGCAGATCCAGAGAAAGGATAACTGAAAAGCATATTGAGTGACAGACAGTGAAGGGTTGATGCTTTATAATTAACCCTTTCGCGCGGTCATTTAAATTCTGCTGCCGTGTCTCACGGCGGTAATATATTCAGCCGACCATTTAAATTGTGCTCGAAAATGATTTATTCATCATTGTTCTTAAATTATCAGAGATAGAAACATGAAACTGTCACTAAAATGATTTTAAAAGTTGGTTTTATAACCTTACCTTATAATATGAGCGCCCGGTATCTCGGCAATGGAAGCAGGTGGTTTAGAATTTGAGCAGTGTATGGTACGCCTTGAAGCATGAAACTTTCACTAAAATGATCTTAAAAGATGGTTTTTATAACCTTACCTTATAATATGAGCGCCCGGTATCTCGGCAATGGAAGCAGGTGGTTTAGAATTTGAGCAGAGTATGGTACGCCTTGAAGCATGAAACTTTCACTAAAATGATCTTAAAAGATGGTTTTTATAACCTTACCTTATAATATGAGCGCCCGGTATCTCGGCAATGGAAGCAGGTGGTTTAGAATTTGAGCAGAGTATGGTACGCCTTGAAGCATGAAACTTTCACTAAAATGATCTTAAAAGATGGTTTTTATAACCTTACCTTATAATATGAGCGCCCGGTATCTCGGCAATGGAAGCAGGTGGTTTAGAATTTGAGCAGAGTATGGTACGCCTTGAAGCATGAAACTTTCACTAAAATGATCTTAAAAGATGGTTTTTATAACCTTACCTTATAATATGAGCGCCCGGTATCTCGGCAATGGAAGCAGGTGGTTTAGAATTTGAGCAGAGTATGGTACGC